TCGAGTTCATGAATGTTTACTCATTAGCAGGAGGACTTTGACACTATGTGGGGTTATCAAAGTTACAGGTATCAGCACTACTTAATAAACATATATACGTACATTTATATATATACGGTGAACACTAAATATGTTTATATGAATAATCGTTCGTCTTTCCATTAGAAAAATTACAGTAAGTGCATTTTATGAATTTAGGGACATCCAAACCCGCTGGAGGTATTGCACCAGCTGTGAAAGCGGCTTTGACGAGAGCATACAATGAAGGAAGTAAATTAAGGATGGTTCGTGCTGCTGATTTGGTATCTCTTCCGGGAATTAAAAAAGCCCCTCGGAAGAGGGTGGCTGCAATGTTAGAACCATCCAATGATGGACCGAGCGAGGAGAATGGTAGTGCATTGGCAGAAAGTGAAGAAGAAAACACTTCAGATGCTGAAGACTTGGGTAAATTTTTCTTTTCTGACTATAAGGTTTGATATATAGAAGAGTTGCATAATAGAGCATAAGACATCTTATTGAAAGCTTTCTGGACACCAAATGATTAAGGGGCATATCCTTCAATGAAGGCAATAGGTAGAGCAAAATTAAGGCTCACAGCCCATCATCCAAATAGCATGTGCAGTATGTTTTAATCTACTCGGCAGTTGTCTGTTTGTGTTTTGCTTGCATGTATTCGGATGGCTAGAAACATATTTTGCATAGGAAGGCTAGAACGGTTAAATTTTATATAGGCTTCAAAAAAATGGGGCACAGGATGTAGAAAATAGCTCGAAAGTTGTCCAAGAGGATTTGGATGTCAGCGTGGTGTTATATGGTTTGGCTTGCGCCCCTTTTGGGCTCTTAGGCCATGTTTTTAGATAAATAAACCATATTTGTTGAAGTCATTTGGAATTCCTCTCCGAGATTAACAAGGAGAGAATAGAAACTTTTAGTAGATTATGAGAGGATATGAATTATATTTGAAAATTGTAAAAACTGAACGTGGTATGGAATTTCAAATGAAATTGTGATGGAATTATTAATGCATTATTCAATTTTATTTAAGTTACATGGAGCATCAACTTATAATTTTGGATAGAATTTTTATGTTCTCATAATTAAGTACAGCACGAATTTCCAAGAAATTACATATATCGAGTTAATTTCTTCTGGACATAATGTAAGACTATTTGGAAAATACTTTCACATTCTTTTGAACTGGTAGAATTGGTACGTACATAAGGTCTTGCCTTAAAATTAAAATAAAAAGGAACTCATTTAAGCTCTTCAGGCAACGAAGCTCCACTGTTGAAAGTTACTGAGTCAGCACTTGTGTATTAAAACTATCTGATAGTTTTTTGACATTATTTTTGTGACTTAAAAGGGACTACTGATGGGGAGAAGCTGCAGACAGAACTTCAGAGTTTGAATTCAAAAGGTCATTATAATTCCTCACGCGCATCTCATATCCAAACCGTGTTATGCTCGGTTGTTTAACATCTGTTCATATATTTCTAGGAATCGAAGTCCAAGTCGACTTGAAGGGCACAGGAAAGTCAAGCGCCAAGAAGGCATCAGCAGGCAGGGGAAAAGGAGGTTCTGCATCCGCTGAGAAGAAAAGTGGCGGGCGAGGTTCAGGCGCTGCTGCTAATAAGAGAAAGAGATAAAGGGCTGCAGATTATTGAAACAAAAAGCAACTAAGAATTGTGTACTGCGCCAGGGAGATTTAACTGCGAAAGCGGAGGGTTTT